TATGAACATATACAATCTATAATATAATAACATGCTACTGTGATGTGGCTGGGTTGTATGGTCGAATGGTTAACGTGTGCACGTTGCATTATAAGGTCTTGTCATTGAGTCAACTGGTTTGGTTTCAATTCCCCTGGTTGTACATGACAAGGTTTTCTCTGGGTCCTCCGGTTTCCTCCCACTGCTAAAGACCCCTTGGCGCTAGTAATTTATTGAAATAAAATTGAATCCTATTAGTCCCGAAATGACCTACTTTGTGTCGAGTGGACCTTAAACCCCATCTCTCTCTCTGTTGAAATATAAAGACCCCTGAACCTGAAATAATGTAGTTTGTGTCGAGTGGACCTTAAACCCCATATCTCTCTATCTCTCTTTCTTTGGGGGGGTTGGGTGGCCGAGTGGTTAGCACGTGCGTGCTGTATCATACGGTCTGTCATTGAGTGTGATTTCGATTACCCGGTTGTACGTGACAAGGAGTAGGGTCGCCTGTCCAACCTCATGGGTTTTCTCCGGGTAGTCCGGTTTCCTCCCACTGCTAAAGACCCCTACATACTACTACTAGTGATTTATTGAAATAAAATTGAATCATATATTAGTCCCAAAATGACCTAGTTTGTGTCAAGTTGACCTTAAACCCCATCTCTCTCTCTCTCTTTCTCTCTCCCTCTCTGTTGAAATATAATTGTACCATATGTTAGTCCAAGAGTGACCTAGATTGTCTCTCTCACTCTCATAAGCTTATTGTCCCATTCTAATAAGCTTATCTAACCTATATATCAATTGTACACGTATATTATAAATAATGATTTGTATCATTGCCTGCCATGTTATATTGTACAATAATTGAACGACTTACTGATGAGAGAAACAATAAAACACATTTATTATTACATTACATCTAGACTAATTTCACGAGGGAAAAATAATTATGCTGTTTGTTTTTTTAGTTTTTATTTTATTTAAGAATGGAGAAAATATGTTTTATTGACATAAATTGTTTAAAAGTACAGAATACATTCTTAATATGAGATCTTACCAAATTGTTCAAAAGTATAGAATACATTCTTATTATGGGATCTTACCAATGACTGTAAAGGGAAATCAGGTGTATTAGAAAGCATATACTGCCTCTTGCACAAAGTATGTCACACTTCCTTATGTTACAATTATGTACGACTACATGGTTAACGAAACCTATTTTAATAACAGCCATACATAAGGGCCTTTAAAGCACATTCTGATGGGAATCGGACTGCCAACATTTCAGAACTGTGGTATCAGATGTTCTAGAAATCATAGTCTGCCTCGTGCATAAGAAATGTCAACCATACTACTTGTCGCAATAACAGATTTATAAATTATAATATATACACTGAGGGTGTTCCAGAAAGCATACCTTGCCTCTTGCACAGAGCATATATATATATATATACATATACATGTATATCTTACTACCACACAGTCTGTCATAATTACGTCCTAAATAAATCCTATTCTAATAATAGCTAGAAAAATGTTTTATATATTAAATTTTCGCAGTGGATACCGATGTTCCAGAATGTGCTGCAATCTGTTTCACAGAGAATTATGAGTAGTAATATCTCTGTCAAAGATGACTGCCTTCACAGCATGCAGGGTCAGTCATTGGCTGAATGGCGTGTGCATTGTTTACATATAAGATGTTACTGCTTCGGGCGAAATGCTGCCTTTTAGTCATTTTAATACCCATTTACACTAAATAGGAAATAATTTTTACCTACAAATATGTCAAACGCCTTTATTTATTTTTCCAATACATAAAAAAAATGTGTTAGAATTTAATTTGTCGCCGGAAAAAAGTTAATATTTCTGGCTCATTAAGTCGCATCTATGGCATCCTTATCAGGGATTGTAGCGGCCTAGCGAAAATTCACTGCTGATCAGTGGGAATGTGCTGGTGTTTGCAAAATATTGGGCTCTGTGTAGATGACTGTTATAAAGCATGGTATTACATGAGATGAAAAGATTGAGTAATGATTTTTTGTTCAGTATTGAATGAATAACAAAAGTGGTTGAATCTTTAGTGACATGATTGACATAAGAGGCTGTAAATTGTGTTAGTTGTTTATCGAGATCTCTTGAAACTTGTCCAGTATAAAACAATATTGCACTAGGGTTGGATTCAGTGCCATCATGTATGCCAACTTTAATCGAGTGCTCTTCAAGCTTGTATAGTCGTCAGTGTAGAATTATATTACCATCATGTGTGTATAGAGCTTTATGTCTTAATCAGTTGTGTGTGGCGTGGATGACATTTGAAGAATCTTTTACTTTCGTGATTAGAGTATTCTGAGACACTTGTCACAACATCATATTAGAATTTAATTTACTCAAATGTTAATCGAAAATTAACTATAAAAAAAGACATTAAAGACTTATAACAAACCAGATTGCTCATATTTATAGCTTGAAAACTAAGAAATATGTACTACTAGAGGTTTACTCGGTATTGCTAGGGGTAGAATCCTGGATGGAAGTAGTATAGCCCCAGAAATGGTAGTTCAATGCCATCAGGCCTGTGTCACTCCTAATTTTGAGCTGTCCTTTTCCCCCAAACAGACAAATGACCGTCACAAATATAGAATTTACTGCATTTCTGAGCAGAGACGAATTATTATAACTTTATTTGTCAAAGATGCAAAAAGATGGCAGCATGAAATAACAGAAACCAATCAAGATTTTAATTGGTCAGCATATTGAAATTAGAATTATTCATTTAACTAATTTTTTAGCACAGTTTTTTTTTATTCATAAAACTAGGGTCTTAAATTCTAAATTAAATTCTAAATTTGATTTTTATTTTACAAGTTTAGACTTTAATATCTCCGAATGGGCTAATGAAGACAGAATTTTTTTTAAAAAATTTTCCGTACAAGAGCAGTGGGACGTTATACACCATTTCATTTCATTTCATGTCATGTCTAATCATTTGCCTGGTTGATGATACAGAAAAGTTAGATGTTCAAAGACAGTATGTCCTTTCATTCCCTACTGCAGTCCCTGCCACATCAAGTTCTTCAGCACTGAAACTAAAGATAATCATGATTTGTGATCAATGCCATGGATGGAGACGGAAAATAATTCTTTCTTCTCTCTATGTCTACTTACTGATAACACAAACATAATTTTATTGACATCTCGGCTTGGTTTCAATGCATTTAATTGTAAAAAAAACAAACGGCTATAAAAGTTTAAAGTATGTGCTCTTTATTTTTTATTCAAGCATCTATTTTTTTTGCCGGTCTGAGTTGTCATTTTCTCTGAATTGTGAAAAAATACGTAAAGTTTTATTGACAGCCCGGCTAATCAACTCAGTGTGTGATAATCTTTTTGGTGGGTGTGATGAAATTACCAAACTTTGAAATGTCAGATATCGAGACAACAAAAGTCAATCGATGACAAACTCGAAAGAAACGGATCAAATTGTTTCAATGTTTGTTGGGTTTTTTTTAAAACTCAAACTGCGCAGTTAGACAGAATTTACAATTATTTTCTATCATTTTCTTTTTACCAGAAAAATTATTGTTTTAGTTATAAACTAATTCTAAGCTGATTTTTGTCATTTGGACAATACCTTAATTTAATTGGTCAGTTGTACTCGAATTGATTGTATATGTTTAACATTTTAGTTAGAAAACAAAATCAAAATACCTGCAGTAAATTAAATCTCCCGGCTTGGATTCAAGTGGATTTAAAAGAGGAAAATTACAAATTTTACTATTGATCATATCCTCTATATCCTATTGACCATATCCTCTATATCCTAATGACCACATTTTCTATATCCTATTGACCATATCCTCCATATCCTATTGACCATATCCTCCATATCCTATTGACCATATCCTAATGACCTATTGACCATATCCTCCATATCCTATTTACAATATGATATTGACCATATCCTCCATATCCTATTGACTATATCCTTCATATCCTATTGACCATATCCTTCATATCCTATTGACCATATCCTATTGACCATATCCTCCATATCCTATTGGGGGGGTCGGATGGCTGAATAGTTAGCGTGCGCGCGCTGTATCATAAAGTCTGTCATTGAGTCGACTGGCGTGGTTTCGAATCCCCGGTTGTACGTGACAAGGAGTAGGGTCGCCTGTCCAACCTCATGGGTTTTCTCTGGGTCCTCTGGTTTCCACTGCTAAAGACCCCTACGCGCAAGCGAATTATTGAAATAAAATTAAACCATATGTTAGTCCCGAAATGACCTAGTTTGTGTCGAGTGGACGTTAAACCCCATTTCTCTCTCTCTCTCCATATCCTATTGACCATATCCTCCATATGCTATTGACCATATCCTTCATATGCTATTGACCATATCCTTCATATCCTATTGACCATATCCTTCATATGCTATTGACCATATCCTTCATATCCTATTGACCATATCCTCCATATACTATTGACCATATGCTGTTGACCATATCCTTCATATCCTATTGACCATAACCTATTGACCATATCCTCCATATCCTATTTACAATATGCTATTGACCATATCCTTCATATCCTATTGACTATATCCTTCATATCCTATTGACCATATCCTTCATATCCTATTGACCATATGCTGTTGACCATATCCTATTTATTATCTGCAGAGGATCTAGACTGTTGACAAACTTTCAGTTCATCATATCTTTGTAAATACTGAATGAACTTTAACCATTTTTGGATTGATGTTTGATAGAGGTTCAGCTTCTACAATAATGTAGTTTGCTAGAGATTCAGAATTCCTCAAATGATGATAAGAGCACTCTAATTAAAACAATCAATAGTCAATGCATTGTAAATAAGGAGGAGCTGTATGAGGTATGCCCATGTGCGTAAGTCTGGTTGGTGGAGTATGACCAGATTTTCTTTCTTTTTTTTTCAGGAAAACAGCTATTTGGTTATGCCAGTGGAAATAAATTATTATAAACATTTTTTTGTAATTTCAGGATGCTAAATCGGATTCGAGTGATGGTGAAGTTAAAAAGGCATTAGACGCTGTGGATAAGTCTATCGCGGGCCACGATACAATCTCCATTGCATCCGACGGAAGCCGAAAATCACAGGAAATCAATAGTAGTGTACCACCTCCCCCTCCACCACCTGGAGTTCCTGGTGTACCACCACCTCCACCTTTACCAGCATTACCAGAGGGAGTTCCCCAACCTCCTCCACCCCCTCCCGTACCCCCATCTACTCTGCCCTTGAAAGTAACGATAGCGGAAGAAGACCTGCCCTTACCTCCACCTCCGGAAAATCCAGAAATATCGGCAGTTGAATTAAACGGCTATTTACCACCACCCCCTCTGAACGGGACAGATATTGACGAAAACGGATTCTGTACTCCTTCTCCAACTCAGTACGAATCTATTGACCGATTAACAGGATCGATACCATCAAGTGGTGGGTCATTGTCACGGCGACCAGAATTCATCATTCCTCCTCCCCCATCTTTTCCACCTCCTCCTGTACCAGATGCCAATGCTCGTCCTGTCAGCTATATCCAAGTGAACGAACTATCTCCAGAAACCCAGGACAAACTTTCAAACATGATGCAGCATCCTGTGGATAATATCATGAGTCCTCAGTCAATGGCTGACTCTGTGTGTTCGCTTCCAGAACCAGAAGCTGTTTACGACATGTTGGAATATGCTGAGAAATATTACAATAATCACGTTCGAGATTATGGTGGAACACTGATGAAGAGTTTAAAGAAAAGACGACAGTCATCAACGGTAAGTTTGATATTCATTCAGCACATTCAGATCCTATTGCATTTTGATCCCATTACATTTCACTGTCCAGGATCGATCCTGGTATTGGTAGAGAAAGTTCCTCTCGATTTGTCAGTGGAGCAGGATGAAATGGCTGATATTTGTGCACTTGAGACTTTCTGTCATTTTATTACATGTTAAAAAGGCTCTTAAAATTGTTACAATTTATAATAGATTTGAATCTAATGACACTTAAGGTTGCTACAATTTCTAAAACATTTAACAAGTAACAATTAAAGTTGCTACTAAAACATTTACCAAATGACACAAATGAACATTGGATGGACACAGTATGAATTAAAATACATCTTCAATAAAATAGCTCATCATATAAAATTTTATTCAATAATTTCTGATTTACATACAATCACAAAGAAATCAAAGTGCATGAGGAAATGTAATTAATAAAAAGGTGCTTTGGCCATTTTGAGACTAAGATTCTTTTTATTAATGGTGACATGTTAGGGAGGTGAATTTTGCCTTGACAGTGCCCTGACTCTTCATAACATTGTCATAGAACAAGCACTACATCTAACTAAGTGATACATCAAACAAGTGATACATCTAACAAAGTGATACATCTAAAAAGTGATCTAACAAGTGATACATTTAACAAGTGATACATTTAAAAAGCGATTTAACAAGCGATACATCTAACAAGTGATCTAACAAGTGATACATTTAACAAGTGATCCAACTAAAAAGTGATCTAACAAGCAATACATATAACAACTAGACTTGAAAATTGGAATTAATTAGAAATGAAATGACCTTTATTCATTAGTTGATAGGTATTTATTCTGTCAATTAATTTCTCTTTTCTCTTTAAAACTGTGAGTAGGTATATGGACTTGTGAATGAAATAAAAACAGTACTATACATTACTTTTATTATACATTGATAAATAATGGAATCATAGTGTTGTTACCATGGACATATGTTATATACAATGGCAATTCAATTGGAAAAGGGTTAAAGAAGTTCTTTGCCCCAAAGTGCCCTTCCATCATCGTAATGCTTTCAAAATACAATTATTTCTCCTTTCTCTTTAAAACTATGAGTAGGTGTATTTTGTTTTATCAGACTTTGTGAATGAAATAAAAACACTACTATTAATTTTATTGTACTTTGATAAATAATGGAATGGCTATATCATAGGGTTGTTACCATGGAAATAAACAGAAAAGTATTTATATAGTAACGGACTACTGTCAAAGTATTTTCTAGTGCGTGGATGGATACTTTTAATATTGAACCCATCAATGCAGCAAACCTACAATCAAACTATATTTTGTCAAAATAGTCAATAGACAAAACAATTATTATGGATTGAAACCTTTGTTATTTTGTTTCCGCGGCGATAATGAGATTGGTATTTCATGATTGTCTGGAGTTGGAAATGGATCCATCGGAAGACGAGATTATCCAGTTAGTTTAATGTCATTAAAAAGTCTGTTTGTTGAGAAACAAAGGACTTGCGTACCAGGTCAATTAGTCTCTGTTGCTTCCATGAATGAATGTATTATTTCCTTTTACTACAATTGATAGGTAATCTATTCCTGTGGTAATATCAGAACGCTTTGATCCAAATCCTTCGGATCAATTCATTGGCTCCTTAAGAAGGAAAAGTAGAAAAGATGTCTGTGATGAAATAGATTTTTAGCATCAGTTTTTTATTTTGATTTCTTAAGTAAAATTTTTTGTTGCTAAAAAGATGCAGTATGTAAGAGCTAAATCGTCCTATTGCAGGTCTTTTAATGGTTTCAAATCTTATAAATTTAGACATTTATTCACATGCCAAGCCTATAAATCATTGGATGGCTGAATGGTTAACCCACAGACTCTATCCCTGACAAGTGGGATCAGGGCTTGAAATATCTCAAGATTCTAGTTCCACAGACAGGATTAGCACCCTTTGCCCCAGATAACAAGTGCAAAGAGTGCTTGAACAATTCAAAGACTCTATTTCCACAGACAAGTTTAGAACCCTTTGCACCAGGTAACAAGTGCAAACAGGGCTTGAACAATCCAAAGACTCTAGTTCCACAGACAGGAATAGAACCCTTTGCTCCAGGGATAATATGGTCTTAGATATTACAATAAAAATAATTGGCCAATGATGCATTCAAATACACAAGTAAAAGAGAATAGATGAACAAGGCAGGAAGTAGAAGTAGAAATAAATTTTTAGAATTTTCCTGTAATTCTGTTCAATTATAATAATCATCAAATTCTATGATTGATTTTTTTTTTCTGTAAAAGTTTCTATTTCTTCTGGTGTGATCATAAATGTCCAGGTAGTTATCATCCACCAGTCTGTATTCTGAGCATATCATCTTTGTATAGGATACGTGTAGCTCTAAGCAAGTTATCAATTAACTAACTTAGTAACTGTAACATTCTTCACTTTGCGTGATATTTAAAGAATCAGCTGAGAGATGAATAGTATTCGCTGGTAGGGAGAGTAATTAACGTTAATAGATCTAGTGGAATAACTTTCTTTTTGTCAGTGAATGCTAATTGATGAGAAGATTTCTGGCCATAGATATTTTCTGTAAAGGATACCAACAAGAAAAGCATTTTCGCGTGAATGAGATTTGTGTATGCAATAATTTTGCGATTGATTCAAGAGCAATGTGGTTTGCATGTAAAAGAAGTATTGAACCAGCGGTCTTATTTTAGATATAATTGGGAGCCGCTGTGGTTCAGTGAGTAAACACTGTCCTGCTAACAAGGCGGACCTGATTTAGTATAGTGTCTGGTTGTTTGGATGGTAAGAAAATCTCAGGTTCTGTGGACACATTGGCATGCACACAAAAGAAAACTTGACTCAATGACAATGACTCAGTGTCAAGGACAGTGTCTAGTCATTTGGATGGGAAGAAAACCCAATGTCCCTTGTACACATGGGCGTGCATGTAAAAGAAAACTTGACAATTAGAATTTGAAATAAAGAGCAGGCTGTAGGTTAAAATTTCCCTCATAGCACACTGTATGTCAGTCTTCATTATCCCAGTCGGAGCAGAAAAGTAGGATGTTAAATTACGTAACAGTGATATTTGCAGGTCTTGATTGACGGTGAAAATGTCCAATTGGAGAATTAACCTACCTGTCAATTTTCAAGGTATAAAATTAGAATTTCATAAAATTTAAAGGAGCTAAATCGCTAATATTTGGGACCTAGAAACTGACACAAATGGGTCGCAAAGCATACAATAATGTTATATGAATGTATATAAACTGATTTACATTCAATCGTTTCTGTTTTTACTGTAATTTCTAATCAGTTAGGTTTGGCGAAATACGCCAGAAGTCTCAATCGAATGTCAATCTCTAGCGTCTGGTTATTCCAGTCTACGCCGATAGTATTTATTGCGGATGCTCTCCAGATAAGAATATAGCGTCACCGTTTGACATGACTTATGGAATATGCCTAGCCTCGTTTTTCGAGTCCCTTATTACAAATAGCACTGAAACACATTATGGTACACGATTCATGTACCAATTCTAAAATGTTTATTTTGTCTTAAATATTTGATATCAGAAGGCCATCTTTTCCTGGTAAGATCACAACATCAATGTTGATTTAATCTGACAAATAATTCGTGTTTCCAATGTCGAAGATTTTGGATGATATTAAGTTAGAGACTTGGCTACTTTTAACTAAGAACACAAGAAACACTTAAAGATGCATTCCCGGGTATAAACTGTGTGATTTGATAATATGTTAATCTCAGAAATTAAATATTTAAATTTGTCACCAAAACGTTTTTTTTTCTGTAAACAAAATGTTATTTCAGTTAGAATAAGAGGGACCAGGGAATAGGGATAGCCTATATCACCCCTCTCCTCCTATTTCTTCTTGTGTATAAAATGTGTGTTTTGATCATATAGAAATGACCTATGTAAATTGGGGGGGGGGGGGATGGCCGAATGGTTAGCACGTGTGTGCTGTATCATAAGGCCTGTCATTGAGTCAACTGGTGTGGTTTCGAATCCCCAGTTGTACGTGACAAGGAGTAGGGTCGCAAGACCCCGACGCGCAAGCGAATTATTGAAATAAAATGGAACCATTTGTTAGTCCCGAAATGACCTAGTTTGTGTTGAGTGGACATTAAATCCCATTTCTCTCTCTCTCTCTCTTTCTCTCTCTCTCTCTCTCCTATATAAATTGTCGCTGAATTTTTCCGCTTCAATAAAATAGTTGATACAGTATTCTCTAAAATCTTTAATGCATTAGAATTCAATAGTATTTCATCTGAAATCCTATTGGTTCCATGTTGATAAATTCTTGTAATCGAAACATACTCGTTATAAGATGTTATTACCACTTTCTTTTGGTCATGTGGAATAATGATGTTTACTCAGTAGCCATCTTGGACTATCAGGACTGGTATTCTGTTCAAACACTAATTATCATGAACTGTTGTAACCGAGGACCTAGGCATTCATGTCAAGATTTGCCAGCTAGTCTTAAATGTTAAGACATTATCATATTTATAGCTGATTTAGATATTTATATTTTAAGTAATTCAAGTCTATGATTGATTTAATTCTCAAGCAGTTTCAGTCTTATGATTATTCCAAATGTTCAAAATTTAAGTAATTCATATTTATAATTAATTTAAATATGTATATATGAAAGACACATCTTTATCAAGTCATGTGATAAACAAGGCCGATGAAAATGGATTCTTGCAGCATTGGGTAGTTTTCATCCAATTCAATTGGTTTGAGAGGTATTTGAAGCTTACATTTGACAGATAAATTAGTTTGAATATGTTTTTAGTCAAACTATATGATAAAATCAAACAGTTTGTACACAGTAAGACATCTTTAAGTAATGAAAGTCTATAATTGGTGGGGTTGGATGGCCGAATGGTTAGCCCGTGTGCGCTGTATCATAAGGTCTGTCATTGAGTCAACTGACGTGGTTTCAATTCCCTGGTTGTACGTGACAA